AAAATAAGAACAAATTAAGAAATACCAATGTGCATGTTAGACTACAAAAAACACAAACGACTTAACTTTAAAAAATCAATTAGACTTTAAAAAATTACTGTTGACTTGACACTGTAGTAACATTAAATATTGCTATCACAAGCAACTATAAAAACTTGTGGCTGTTCATGCTATCCAAAATGGTAAACAAAGCCCTAAATAGGCTTTGTTTAAGGCTTTAAATAGGCCCTAAATAGTAAAATCTAGATAGAAAGAAAAAACAAAGTGAAGTCATTTGAGTGGCAATATTCACGGTATTCTCTCTATTTTAGGATATTTTCATGTACAACATTGCATATTTTCACACTCCTGAGAAACATGGAAATATTGCAAATTATTTGAAAATCGAAAAATGTAAGATGATGCTATTTCGTAACTCCTTTTGGGCTACATCAAGTACATATTACAGGGAAACTTAAACAATTTATGGTCAAATAGGATATTAAAGTCACAGCATTACCTGTACAACCCAAGCAAGTTGAAACATATATGAACCATATTTAGAACAAGACTTCCAGCCACTTCAAATATTGAGATGCACACTGAAAACCAGCTATCACCAGGCATTAGCATGAGTTTTATTTTGAATACCAGGTCTAATAAAAATTTGAAATATCTAATGAAAATCTATGTAACTTCAAATTCTGAGCATTTTTTTTTTCTTTCCTATGTCTTTACATTATGAATACAAAGTCCTGATTCTAGAAAAGAAAATGTGAAGGAAAATTGAAGTAATCAAATAGAACTCAAAATGCAACACCTGAAAATGTAGAGCAAACCATAGACCAGATTAAAGTAATTTCCCTGTTAATGCCCACATTAACATTTTGCTTTGAAAAGCATGCCTGATGATTGATAAAATAGTTTTAAAATTATTTTTAAAACTTACATTCTAAAATCAGCACAAGGGACTACATTTGCACAATTCACTGTTTTATGAACGTCCAACAAAATACTTTGCCTCTCTAAAACATTCTTAGCAAAGGAAAATGAAACTTCTGAAAACTCTCCCTGCTCCCTAAAATCTGGGTGAAGTGTTTACATGTTCTCTTTTCAGCAAATGATTCATGTTCACTGGTAACTGGTTTGTAGAAGTAAACACATACAGCTTGGTGGTAGCTAATTGACTACCTGTTACATATCTACACATAGCTGATCAGATGAGTTTGATCCAGGATATATATTATGAAAAGCAATTTAATTTGACTACATTTTTGGGGAAGAGAAAGGGCAAAGGAATTATGAACTGAGCAGCTCTGTAGTGCCCACAAAATTCAAATACTTTACTAAAGACAACTGAACTTGAGTAAACACACACTTACATAATACACTATGTTTTTCCACAGCTACCAGCATAATATGCCCTTAATATGTTCACTCTGATTCACAAGGGACAAAATAAATCCCATCAATAAGGGATTAAAACCGGCGCAGGTCAATTCCTGTTAACTCTAGCAAGTATCAATCAACACTTTGCCAAAAATAATAAAAAAATCCTTTCTGATATAGCCTGTACGCTTCCATTTCAGTTTTAAAGCCCTGCTGATTCCACCCTGGAATACAGAGCTAAGATAATGCCTAAACTAGTCATCAGATAGATAAAAAAATTTACCTTGATTCCTTTTATGACTTCAAGAAAGAAACTAGTGTGGACACTTGCCTTGTTCACAACTACTAATTTTGTAAAAAACTCTTGCCTTAATTCTTAGGATTTATAGTATCAGACCACATCAGTCACCCAGGATTTTTTTTTGTAAAATTGTAGTGTCTTTTAATAAAAATAATGGTAATGAAAGGCAACATAAAAATTATATAAAAAAATAAAATCAAGAAACATCTGATTTTGTTTTAGGTCAACTAGATAAATCATCAAGGTGGCATAACTAAATCAAATTAAAAGAAAAATAAATTAAAAGTAAGTAAAACTATTAGGGGGGACACTCCACAGACTCTTAAAGGAATGTTGAAAGCTGTAATGTACAGAGAAACCATTTGTTTTAAAATTTGTATCACTACTAAGATGTTCTCCTTACATTTTGTAGAGCTCTACACAATTTAAAATAACCAGCCAAACAAACCCCCAAAATACATATCAAGTCTAAATGTGAATCCTATCCTTATTCAAATTCTTGGAACTTCAGCCATAAATTGGAATTAAGAGTATGACTTCACCCACAGGAAACCAGTATTTTCAAATCCACTTATTTTAAAGGGCAATTTTCACAATTAAATGCATATTAGTTAATTTGTATGCACTTTAAGAATACCTATCCAAGCACATCCAATATGTCACAAAGATATTTAAATGAGTGCCTTCTGAGTGTTGGCCATATTGTGCCACCAGTGAAGTTTTTGCATTTCAACAGGGATCTCTCTTTAAAGACTCATGATACAGTACACACATTTTCCCACTTTTTGCATGCAGTGTATTTGAAATGCATCGATTTCTATGACAAACATTGCATGGCCAACACCATCCAGAAAACCCCACATCTGTAATTCATATTGCAACTCTAAGGACTATGTCTTTAACAGGTCATTACCATATTGTTAAACCCCCTAAATTTGCCTCTTCCCTCATTGAAAGGAAGAGGAACCTTCATCACGTTTCAGAATGTCCCAAAACTTACCCCAGAGGCAACACCTGAGCGCTGTCTAGGTCAGTATTTTTTCCTTTACAACTATACAGATGATAGAACTGCAAGTTCCTGAATGTCTACTGCTAAATACTGTACTGGTTTCTCTGGCTCAGAAGGCCTTATTCCACACATCAGCTATTAATTAAAGAATCAGTAATGCTTAGCAAAGGATTCATAACTGATTACTAGCCAAATATTTATTTTTATAGTTGTCCTTGTCCAAAAATACTAAATGGGTCAAAAATTGTTTCAGCTGGAAATGTAATTTTACTTCAAGTAATCATTGACTTAAACTGGAGTAGAATCAAGCCCTGAAGCACAATAGCACTTTTTTTTTTCCAATCTCTGTTGCTCACACATCTTGTTGGGGAGAAATGACACTCTAAACCAACAAAAACTTCTTGTGGGGGAAAAAAAAACCCAGAAAGGAAAATCTACCCAGATGATACATTTTACAAATAGTAAACCTATGAATTGAGCAGACAAGAAAACAGAAGAGAAATGAAAGTGATACGTAAAACATAATTACTTCTAAACCAGTGCTAGATTTTTCATTTTAAGCTCGTAACAACTTTTTTTTTTTTTTTTTTGGAATTAGGACTATTATTTGACAATATTTCAAATAATGTGATGGTATTTTCAGAAATTCTACTTAGTTAAAAAAGTGATTTTTTTAAAATTTTAAACCAAGTTGGACTTTGAATCAAGATTTCAAATTAATTATTTATTTCCCCCCCCACGATCCACTGGGTCCTATTCCTTTCTGCTCCAAGAAAAAAAGGTCTCCCCTCTATAAAACACCAGCAAGTCAAATTTGACTAGATACAGTCAGCTTCTGTGAAAAAGAAGAAATTCTGTAAACAATAAAATACAAATAAAAGTTACCTACTAGCCCTATGAAAAGTCCACTTTAGTTTTCGTTTGTCCCAGAAACATAAAAAGCCAGATGTACTACAGAGAATTACAAAGGATGCATGCCCCGATTTATTTTACCCTAAGATATAAGGATCAAAACTCAAGCAAAAAAAAAAACAAAACCCCACATAAAATGAGCAACAAATGCCTCAGAACTGCAATACCTGCATAAGACAAATACTGCATGTCGAACTCACATTCCATTTCTAAAAAGAGTTGCTAATTTCCACAAACTTAGATTCACCAATTGAGCAATTATGCAATATATGGGTGTACCTTGCAGTCGTTTTCTTAACATCTGCATTCTGTGTTAAATTCTAACTGTACAAGATGTCTGATACTTTTTCTTTATCTTGAACCTTCAAAGTGGTAGGTTTACCAGAGGCAAAACCACACACGAGAGAATATGAGTCATATAATAAAGAAGCAACTCTTCCCCTTCTCTCCCTTCCACCCTGAAGCTATAATAACCTAAAGACACTCTATTGTAAATGGCTTCTTTGGTAATATTGATAGCATAAACAACTTGCAATCAGTTAGCCAATGAATGAAGATTTTTTTAGTCCTTACTGTATCAGTAACAAATTACTCTCAGTATCATTTTCAGGCAAATTAAAAATTGTGCTACTGCAAAAATAAAATTCCTTATAATATTCAGAATGTCTATGCACTTGTTTTCATGTCATGCATAACATACATAAAACATTCTATGCATGTTCCTATAAATAACAACATTAAAAGATAAAAATAATCAAACATAAGATGCCCATGCAAGTTAATCCAAACGGGATCTCTCATTTGTCTACAAAAGAGTAGCCTCTCTACAAAAATTCTTAATTTCCTCATGATTCCCTATCAAAAGATGACAATATTTACATACAAGTACACCACTGCTCATGCCAGCTACAATAAATACATAAGGAAGCAAACCACCTTACTTGACCACCATTTCCGTGAGTTTCCACTCTGAAGTGCAGTAAGTGTGGAAAACAACATTGGGGCTACTCTGCCCTTCTATTTCCTTTTATATCGTTTGCTGTATGTAGACTGCAACTCCTCAGATTGATATCCTGCATCTAACGCCACACAGGAAAACAGCTTTCGACAAAGTCTTATCTGATGTATCAATATGCATACTTGTATCAGAAATGTTCAAGATAATAACTGAATGCAGAAACAGCATTACAAACAGCAGCAAATAAATCAGTAACAACAAAACCTTGCACCACTAAAACGGATGCAACCACCACAGTCTTGTAAGAAAGAGAACCCAGCAGCAATACTGGCATAAGCTTTTCCCATGACCATCTTCCAAAAAGCAGAAACAAGCCAACAATTCAGTAAATCAAAGTGAAGCAACACGTTCTCCCTTCAAAGCAGAATAAATTCATTGGTTTCTGTTCTTACCTTTGTATAGTCAAAGTCAGAAAGAGGAGCTATACTCTTGATGTAGTCCATTCGAAATTGGTTTTCTGGGTTGGCCAATGGAACTGGGGGTATTAAAGTGCTCATAGCTGAAACTATAGTCTAGAATTGGATAAAACAAAAACAAACACATTAATCTGGATAAATCAAGGATACAGGATCAATAGAAGATAATCCAATCTGATCAGCAAAATGAGATTCCTCTCAGCACAATCTTGGAGAGCACAATCCTTATCATTTCCAGTAAAGTCAAGCATTTATAACAGTATAAAGCGTGTTCTTACCACAATCGCATCTTTAACATTTTTCCGAATATCCAGTATTTTCTGTTTCTTTTCTCTGCATTAAAACAGAAATATTAACTTTGATTTCTTTTTTCCAAAGCAGTTCAGTCAGTTGCATTTAATTTTCTTTTTCACTGATAGCTTGTTTATCTGCTCTTCAATCATTACAACATACTAAAAGAACAGCAAGACAAAGATATTTTTCCCTTTATGCCTTTACTTGCATAGTATGAAGAGCAATGCACATTCATCCCTGCTATTTTTTTTTTAAATCAGACAAGCATAGCCACATCTGCAAAGCCTCCCCTGATGGAACTGGAAGTCATTCTTTCATTTCTACAGCATGCTGTAAACATGCTCTAAATTAACAATGTGTAGTTAAGGCAAACAGACATTTAGGATAAATGCTACGGATTAATAATAATTTCTGGCAAAGTGTTCTTCAGAGAGAAAATGTTGTAGCCTCAGAAAACAGAATGATTTCTAGCAAATGTGCAAAATTAGTTTCAGTTTTATGCTAACCTCAATACTGGAAAACAGCAGCCACTGTTTTAGTCACTCTGAATATGACTTGACATGTATTTTTGTATTATGGACAGATGCAATATTTGGTTATTTGCTTCTATGTAAAAAGTAGTCGCCATGTTGTTGCTACACAGGGGCCTGTCAAGCGCTGCAGTAGCAACAGTGTAAAATACAGTATAGGGGCCAGAAGGAGAAAATGCAAATATACAATAGCAGTAATTTCCTTATTCTCACCTCCCTCCCTCCCCCAGAATGCAGTGTCAAGCCACCAAAACACAGGGGATGAGAGGAGAAATTTCCTAGACTATCATGTGTTAACCTGTTTCCAACATTTAATGAAAAATAAGTCACAAAGCATCAATAATTCTTACTCTGAATTAAATCCATTGACATGTAGGATTCGCATTTGTTTCACAATAGTGCTTTTTCCTGACTCACCAGCCCCTAAAAGAGAAGGAAGGAGAAGGAGAACATTGTGATACACGGTTCAGGCTAGGGGCTCAGGGTGGGTTTTGGTTGTTTTTTGGACGCGACAGCATCTCCCACCTCCGGCAGCGTTTCTGTATGCCTGCATCCATGTGGCTCAGGCGCTGAGCTTCAATCTGTGGACGTCTTGCATAGCGCTCGATACAACAGCCTACATTTTTCATACCTAAGGCGCGCACCAGATCTCCCCTCTCCGCAGATACCCCCTCTTCTCCTCTCCCAGTCCCCCACCTCAGCCCCCTTCCTCCTTACCCAGCAGGAGTAAGCGGGGGGTCGCTTTATAACCCAGCCTCTCTTTCTGCAACTGCTTCTCTATTTTTTTGTTGGCTTCTCGCTGCGCTTTCTCATCGATACGCTGATCCTCCGTTTTGCTGTTGCCCAAACACCCCATAGCCGCCGCTTAGGATGGATGTCAAATCCTTGCCTTCACAGATTTAGTATTTACAAGGGGGAGGAAAAGGGAAGGGGGAAGGGGGGGAGGCAGAAGACAAGTCTTTATATCCGTGTGTCCCTGCGACGGTTTCTCGTCTCTTCTTCCCCCCCGGGCTCGCTCACAGAAAATGGTCTC